TATAAATCATGGTGCTTCAATTTTTTCTTAAAAATAAGGAGCCCAAGATCTCCAAGGTATGGGGACTCAGTCAGGCCACTCCAAGCCAACTTTCAAGGACTTGCGTAATATCCTCCTAATAATTAATATATTCAGGTACAGGCCTGGTGGGGGGTTGCATCTGGAGCTGCAGCTGCTAAGGTGGCTGTGAGTTATTCTCCCCCTCCATATTCCATAAGAACCATAAATTAGCATCTTAGGTGGAACTTTCACTAGGGCAGTCCAATAACCAAAAACATATTAGGCCAATAACTCATTAGCCCCACCTCAATTAATATTGCACCAAGACCACAACAGTAATAGTGAGTGTGGAAGTCTAAATCAACAGGTTACAACGGCATAGCAACACAGAAGCCCACCAAGCTTAGTGAAGAAACTAGCCCAGAAGACCCAACCAATAATGAAGCTCTGAACAATCTCTTTGACAAGGCATATAGAAGGGGTCTACTGAGGATGCATAGGGAGCTAAAAGAAACAATGGAGCAGGCAAATAAAATACAAGAGGATTTGAGAGCAAAAATGTGGAAAATGCAAACAAAATTACAAACAGAAATAACTGATCTGAAAAACTGGGTAGGTGAATTGAAAAACTCAGTGGAAGGCCTCAGCAGCAGAGTGACAGCTGCTGAAGATAGAATCAGTGAGCTTCAAGATGAAGTGCAGAGACGTGCTGTTCTCCAGACAACAGCAGAAAACGGAAAAGAGCCTCAAAATTAACCAACAGATGCCAATAAAAAATTGGGATAAAGCCAAGAGGAATAACATAAGAATTATTGAAGTCCCAGAGGGACAGGAAGAAAATCCTGACAAAGAAAAAACCACCAAAGACATCATTGCTGGGGGCTGGAGCAATAGCACAGCAGGTAGGTTGTTTGCCTTGCATGCGGCCAACCTGGGTTTGATTCCTAGCATCCCATGTGGTCCCTCAAACACTGCCAGGAGTAATTCCTGAGTGCATGAGCCAGTAGTAACCCCTGTGCAACGCTGGTGTGACCCCAAAAACAAAAGCAAAACAAACAAAAAAAAGACATCATTGCTAAAATGTTTCCAGAACTGAAGAGCACATGTGACCAGATTCAGGAGGCCTGAAGGGTACCAGCTAGAAGAAATACAAATAAAAATACTCCAAGACACATCCTGATCAGAATAAAGAAAACCATAGACAGAGACAAAATTCTCAAAGTAGCAAGATAAAAAAAATTTCCCATAAAGAAGCATCCTTAAGATTTACAGCCAACTTATCTGATGAAACCCTCAGGACCCAAAGACAGTGGTGGGATATAGTGAAGAAACTCAATGAAATAAATACTTCACCAAAAATACTTTACTCAACTAGACTTTCATTCGTATCAGAAGGAACAACACACATTTATGTAGACAAACAAAAAGTCAAGAACTTGATAGACTCAAAACCATCATTACAAGAACAACTAAACTGGCTATTTTAAGACAAGACAAGCCCCTCAAATACACCACATGAATTCTCCACATGATGAAGCCATTATGATTGGAGAAGCACATAGACAAACAATAACTCAGGTACTTCATAGACTCAAAATCATGACTGCAGGAAAGAACTAAAAGGACTACTTTAAGATGACAAGCCCCTCAAATACAACAAACTTTGGTGGCAGAAAGATGAGACAAAACCCTATAATAATAATCTCTCTCAATATCAATGGCCTAAATGCACCAATTAAAAGATACAGAGTGGCAAGATGGATCAGAGAATTAAACCTTACATTTTTCTGCCTGCAGAAACACATCTGAACAGTCAGAGTAAACACATATTCAAAGTCAAAGGCTGGAAAACAATTCTATAGGCAAACAACTCCCTCAGAAAGCTGGGGTGGCCATATTGGTATTGGATCACATTGATTTCAGACTAAAGAGGTCACAAGAGACAGCTAGGGTCATTTATTAATGATCAAGGTATCTGTATATCAGGAAGTATTCACACTCCTAAATGTATATGCACCTAAAGAGGGACCAACAAAATACTTAAAACAACTACTCATAGACTTGAAGAAAGACATCAATAGCAACATAATACCAGTGGGAGATTTCAACACTGCTTTATCACCTCTCAATAGATCAATCAGAGTGAAGTTTATCAAGGACACACTTTATCAGAGGCAAAAAATGGAAAAAAGGGGCTTAGTAGATATATTCAGGACACTTCATCCTCAAAAAGCTAAACACACATTCTTCTCAAGAGTGCATAGGATATTCTCCAAGGTAGACCACATGCTGGGTCACAAAACATATCTCCATAAAATTAAGATAGCGATTGTGTCAATAATACTCTCAGAACATGTTGTGCTGAAAAGAAGAGTCACACAAAAATTATAAAATCAAATCAAATGCTTGGAAATTAAACAGCTCACCATTGAACAATGAGTGGCCTAGAAAGGAAATCAAAGAGGAAATCAAAAGATTCTTGGAAACAAATGAAAATGAAGACACAAGTTACAGAACTTATGGGACACAGAAAAGCTGTGTTAAGAGGAAAGTTTACAGCTCTACAAGCATTCCTCAGGAAGGAAGAGCAAGCCTACATAAGTAACCTAACCTCACAGTTTAAGAGTTGGAGAATAAACAACAAAAGCAGCCCAACCCTGGCAGGAGGAAGGAAATAATAAAACTCAGAGCAGAAATTAACGAGATGGAAACCCCAAAACAGTCCAAAAGATCAATGAAACATCACTGACTAAGCAAGTGTAAACAAACCGAAACAAATGGGACTACATTAAACTAAGAAGCTTCTGCACTTCAAAAGAAAGAGTGACCAAAATACATAGCGTCTATGGAACAGGAAAGAATATTTACCCAAAATCCATATTATAAGGGGTTAATATCCAGGATATACAAGACACTAGTAGTAGTATACAAGAAAAAAACCCTCCAATGCCATCAAAAATGGGGAGAAAAAATGAACAGAAGCTTCTTCAAAAAGGAAGTACAAATGGCCAAAAGGCATATGAAAAAAATGCTCCACATCACTGATCATCAGGGAGATGCAGATCAAAACAAAATGAGATACCATCTCATACCAAAGAGACTGGCACACATTAAAAAATACAAAAACAATCAGTGTTGCCATGGATATGGGGAGAAAGGGACACTTTCACTGTTGGTGGGAATGTCGACTGGTCCAGCCTTTTTGGAAAACAATATGAGAATTCCTTCAAAAACTAGAAATTGAGCTTCCATATGACCTCACCATAACACATCTGGGAATATACAAAAAACCACAGTAGAAATTTTGGAATGCAAAAAACCACAGTAGAAATGACATCTGCACCTGCATATTCATTGCAGCATTGTTCACAATAGGTAGAATCAGGAAACAACCCTAGGGCCCAAGAACAGACAACTGGTTAAAGAAACTATGGCATATCTACAGAATGGAATACTATGCAGCTGTTAGGAAAGATGAAGTCATGAAGTTTTCTTATAAGTGGATTGTCATGGAGAGTATCATGCTAAGTTAAATGAGTTAGAAAGAGAGAGACAGATCATACTAAGTGAAATGAGTCAGAAAGAGACCGACAGACATAGAGTGACTGCATTCATTTGTGGAATATAAAGTAACATAATATGAGACTGACACCCAAGGACAGTAAACTCAGGGGCCAGGAATATTGCTCCATAGTTGTAGTCTTATCTCATGGGTTGGGGGAGAAGACAGCTGTAATAGAGAAAGGATCACTAAGTCAATGATGGTTGGAGAAATTGTTCACGAGCTGTGTGCTGAAAGTAGATAAAGGACCAAACGTGATAGCCTCTCAGTATCGATTTTGCAAACCATAATTACCAAAGGTAGAGAGATAATAGGGGGAAATTGTCTGTCATTGAGGCAGGGGGAGGATTGGAAAGGGTGGGGGGAGAATACTGGGAACATTAGTGGTGGAGAATGTACACTGGTGGAGGGATGGGTGTTCAATCAATGTATGAATGAAACTCAAGCATGAAAATTTTGTAACTATCTCATGGTGATTCATTAAAAAAGCACGGTAGCACTGTCCTCCCATTGTTTATCAATTTGCTCGAGTGGGAACCAATAACATCTCCATTGTGAGACTTGTTGTTACTGTTTTTGGCACATCAAACACGTCATGGGTAGCTTTCCAGGTTTTGCCGTGCGGTGGGATACTCTCCGTAGTTTGTTGGGCTTTTCAAGAGGGATAGAGAAATCAAACCCAGGTCATCCACATGCAAGGCAAATGCCCTACCCACTGTGCTATCGCTCCAGCCAAGGAACTAATCTCCTCTCTTTCTGTCCCTTGGTTGACTACGTTCTCTCCAGATTTAGCAACATTTGCCTGGGAAGTTCTGGGACTGATAGGAGGTACTGTTAACTCAAGTTCATTGAAATGGGATGGGAAAGGATTGTAACTGCAGGCTTAGACTTAGTCTAGTGTGAGTTGGGACAATGGAGAAGCAAGGCTTCGATAGACTGGCTTGGTACCTAAGTGTCTTCTGTATATCCAATTTTTTTTGGCTTTTTGGGTCACAAAAATCTGGTGATTTTCAGATGCTCAGGGGTTACTCCTGGCTCTACACTCACGAGTTACTTCTGGAAGTGCTTGGGGGACCATATGGGATGCTGGGAATCTAACCAGGATTGGCTGTATGCAAGTTAAATGCCCTACCTGCTAACTATCACTCCAGCCCCCCTGTATATTCAAATTTGATAGAAATGTGGATTCTGGTTCAATAGCTTCTCTGAGCTATTCTGCTTGGCACAGTGTCTCCAGTTCCAAACTCCCCTCCCTTTATGCATTGCTCAGGATGGCCAAGTAGAGAACAAAAAGCCTGTCATGTACAACTTTTGTTGGGTTTGATAAATGGGCCAGACCCTTATAAAGCAATTCTCTTTTATAGTATCCAGAGAAACCAAACTTACATTCACTAGAGAAAGTCTCTGAGAACCAAAACAATGCAGAGAAGACACTTACCTGAGCAGTTAGAAATCACTGTCTCAAGAGTTTTATTTTTAATCCAAATAGTTCGGATCACAATGGCATAGATGACACTGTGGAGACAACCAGAGGTAATATTAAAATGACTAGTAGGTTCCAACTGTGAGGGCTGGAGAGACCCTACCCACACCTCTGAGTTTCCAGTGTGGAAGGAGGTTCTCAACCACAGCTGTCTCTGTGCTGTAGCTGATAGAATCACATCAGATGTTAGCTACATTTTTATTTGATTTTGTTTTTCATATGAGGTAGCTAGAATCTGCTAAAGGCAACCTCTTTTCTAAGATAACTCAGATCACTATAGGTATTGCTGAGATGAACATTCAAACACAGGGCTTGGGCTTAGGAAGATTTAAATTTGAAATAAGTTCTACCACTTACTGGTTGCTTGACATCGGCTTTATATAAACTTAAATATGACCCCATGACTCCATATATTACACTTCAGTGTTCATGCCTTTGTGTGACCCTCTTCCTCTGATAGGGCTAGGAGCCTTGCTTCTAATTAATGTGCTGGCTTAAAAGTGATGGGATGTCCCCTGTTACCTAAGAGTCTAGCACCCATCTTGCAATGTCTCTGTTGCTGGTTTTGAATAAGAAAATTGTGGTAGGTTCTACAGTCTTAGGGTATGGATTCTGCCAAGGACACATACAAAGCTGGAAGAACTTTACTGACTTGAGATTCTGAAGACCCTGGCACTCCAGGAATCTCAGTGACTGTTTACAAAGATTCTGGTTAATTAATATCCAAATTACTGACTCAGAATATGAGAGAATTAATGTAGGTCATGTTAGTCACCAGGTTTGTAATAATCTGTGCCTGCCTATAGATAACTCATACATTGATGGATTCAGGTTGAAAATTCCCATGTGATAGATTTAGGAGATGACACTTTGGGAATAACTTAGGTTCTAAGGGGTGAGAGCAATAGTATAGCAGGGAGGATGTTTGCCTTACATGTGAATGCCCCAGATTTGATTCCTGGCATCTCATATATTTCCCTGAGCACAGAGTCAGAAGTAAGCACTGTGCTTACTGCCAGGTGTGGTCCCAAAACAAGCCCCCTCCTCAAAAAAAAAAAAAAGAAAGAAAGAAAAAAAGAAGAAAAAGAAAGAAAAACTGAAAAAGTTAGGTCCAAAACTTAGGTCCAAAGAGTAGAGACCTCACAAACCGAATCAGTGTCTTGATAGGAAAAGTCCCCAAAGAACTCCCCAGCTCTTAGCTCCATGTGGGAATGCAGAAAGAAAGCTGTAATTGGGAAAAAAAGCTCTTTCACAGTCTTGATGACATCGTGATCTCAAAGTTTCACCTTTCAGAGCTATGAGAAATAACTTTCTGTTGTTCATTAGCCACCTGCTCTGATATTTACTTATAGAACCCAAATGTACTACAACACTCTTGCACAACTGTGAAATGGACTTAATAATACAAAACTCCTAAAATGTTTTAGGAATCAAAGATGACAATATTTATAGTAGCGGTATTTGAGTACGTTAGAGTGTACTCAAAAATGTAATTTTCTCCCCCCATACATTTTTCATGTAATATCATATTCAGTCTTGCATGAGAAAATCTGTGTCTAAGTCGAAGACAATGTGTTAATGATTCAAAAGCATCATGAAATTTTGTATTTTATGTAACTTGGATAAATATAAACACTTAAACTCTTCTTTAATAAAACTTGACATTTTTAAATACATTAAGTCTGAATACTTAAGGAAAAACACTGTTTTATTTTAAAACTGCACAATTTTTCCTCTTGAGAAACAAGAGGTTTGAAAAACTCAGAGTCCTAGTTTTCAGTAGCTGATACAGCACTAATGTCATGTGATGATATCTTAGAATATAACTTCACTCGTGGCTGTCAAACCCTCTGCTACTTGTTGCTTTCCATATTATTGTTCAGTAAACTGCTCTGTGTTTCATGGGAGTTCATGTCCTGTTTTGAGCCTCCTCACTCTTCTTGTACCAGCATAGGGACTGTTGTAAAATATCTAAACCTATGTTAGTGAAAAAAATTAGAAGATTATTAGTTTAGTCTTTATCTTAAGTTGAATGTTTTTTGAAACCAGGAAACTACCAAGAAATGCTACAGTACCATGAAGCATTAGTTGTATATTATAATCATAACCTAAGGGCTTAGTTGATCAATAGTTCAAATGTTGTTGTTTACCCTTAATCATACGCATCATGAATAATTAAGAAAAGTTTTATGTGTTAGATGTTTAGGACCAAGGTGCCCTCACCACATCTTGTCAGAAGAGATCAGGCAATTTTCCTACTAGGCAACAATACTAATAAGAGAGTACCTTTCATCACTGCCCAATCTGGACCACTTTTCAGAATATACTAGTCATGCATCTGAGAAGCTTCTGAGTCATCTTTGTCTTCTTTCTTCCACTGAATTCATCAACAAGCCCCATGCCCTGTCTCTTTAAAGTCATGCCATCTGTATCTTACACAATCTCTCTTTTTTTGTTTATGTAGGAGTACTGCTATTTATTCGGCCACCGATTAGGCTGATTGAATTGTGCATGAACTCCACCTTACTTTTTTTCATTTTTTATAATTTTATTTATTGTATCACCATGAGAGCAGTTACAAAGCTTTCGGGTCTAAGTCTTGGTCATATAATGAAACACTTGTGCCTTCACCAGTGTCCATTCTCCACCACCAAAAACCCCAGTATACCCCCCATCTCACACCCTCCCCCTACCTGTGGGGTAGAGGATTTCCACATTACACTCTCTCTACTTTTATCACATTCAATATTTTGACACCAGACCCACCATTATTATTTGAGATTTTACCCCAACACTCAGATCTGCTGAAAAGGCAACAGCAGACAATTTGTGTTCTATTGCTGGTTATGAATAACATATGATGTCGTGTGGCTGCAGTAGGGCCATGTGATTTTGAAATTCCAAAATTTTAACACTTAAATCTGGAGGGATTTCTGCAAAAAGCCACTGGGTTTTGAGATTTGCTCCTGAGTTTCTGGAATCATGGCCATTGAGCAGCTTGATCAGGAGCCAGAGAGGCCATTCGTGGGTGATGACTTAGGGTCTGGTTGGGGTGGAGAGGACAGGCCCGGCTCCACCCCCACCCCGTGAGGCCCAACAAGTTTCATCACTGAGGGCCCAGAACAGACTGTCCAATGGCCTCTGGAGGATGATGGCCATTTTGTCGCCGGAGGGGGGGCAGGCGGAGGGACAACACCCTTTCCCCCTTGGGGTGGCCAGGTGACAGTAACCTACTGCGGGGTCCGGGAGCATTTCTGCCAAAAGCCACTGGGTTTCAAGATTTGTTTCTGAGCCTCTGGGATCAAGGCTGTTAAATAGCTTGATCAGGAGCCAGAGAGGCTGTTTGTGGGCGATGACTTGGGGTCTCGTTGGGGTGGGGAGGACAGGCCCGCCTCCACCCCCATCCCGTGAGGCCCAACAAGTTTCGTCACTGCAGGCCCAAGCCTGACTGTCCAATGGCCTCTGGAGGATGATGGCCACCGAGCCGCCAAGGGGGAGCAGGCAGAGTGATAACACCCTTTCCTCCCTGGGGTAGCCCATCGACGGTAACGTACTGTGGGGTCCGGATGCATTTCTGCCAAAAGCCACTGGGTTTCAAGATTTGTTTCTGAGTCTCTGGGATCATGGCCGTTAAGCAGCTTGATCAGGAGCCAGAGAGGCAGTTCGTAGGCGATGACTTGGGGTCTCGTTGGGGTGGGAAGGACAGGACCAGCTCCATCTCCATCCCGTGAGACCCTGAGTGTCTCATCACTGTGGGCCCAAAGCCTGACTGTCCAGTGTCCTCTGAAGGATGGCAGCCACTGGGCCGCCAGGGGGAACAGGCCAAGGCACGAAACCTCTTTCCACCTGGGTTGGCCCAGCACCGGTAACCTACTGCAGGAACAGGACACATTTCTGCCAAAAGCTGCTAGGTTTCGAGATTTGTTTCTGAGTCTCTGGGATCATGGCCATTAAGCAGTTCAATCAGGAACCAGAGAGGCCATGCCTCCAATTATATAGCTGAGCCTGAGGTGGTTTGTGGGTGTGTTTCCCACGTACATAACTATTGGCTGTTTACTTTCTTGGTAAACTTTGCCCCAAGTTTTTGGGGTCTGGCCAAAGGCACAGCAGTAGTTTTGGGGTATCTGGAAGTCTGAAGGCGCCATCAGGCTGCTGATGTACTTGCCTCACAGGCACAAACTGACCCGCTGGAGGCACCATACCCCCAACAATCTCTCTTTTAAGAAATGTATTCATGGTTTATTTTATTGTGGGAAAGCAGCAAGCATATGTAACAAAATTTATCATTACGGTCATTTTCACTGTGCATCTCAGTGACTTTTACTGTATAATTGTTGTACAATCTCACCATTGTTTGTATAATCTCACCATCCACCTCCAGAATGAAGTGATTTTTTTTTACTTTCCCCAATGGAAACAGTGAAGTGTGAAAATTTCTGCAAATGTGGCATTCTTACCTAGGAGCCATACCTACCCTCTCTGAGTTGCTCCAGTTAGATTTGTGAACTGCTGGTGTGAGTTAACCCTAATAATTCTGTGCCTGGTTGTTGCTGTAAACTTTTAGTACCTCCATTTTTTTTCACCTTAAATGTTCATGCTGACAGCATAACTGTTGCTGCAGGCCACACAACTATTCCTGTCCTAAAACCCTCCATAGCTTCCACTTATTCACAATCTGGTCTTGAAACAGAGCTTTCCAAACCTCACAAATATCTCTGCTTCCTTACCTTTAGCATCATTGCTCTGCTTTCCTCCATCCAACTATCTTCCAACACACATTTCCCTCTCTTGTCCACAGACACAATCAATAACGCCAAGTCCAAACTTACCTTGACTCTGTACACATAGAAGGCTGACTTGGAGTGTGTAAAAGCTCCAACAACTTCCATATCTCAGCATCCACTTTGTGCTTTACTTGAAATGAATTTTTAACAAAGCCTCTATGCATCACTTTCCTGAAATCTTCTAAACTCCCCCCATGAACCCAGTAATCATTAGCTCCTCTTGAGGTTTCCATGCCATTACAATGTTA